GAGATTAAACTCTGATGTCAACATTGTACACATAAAAAATATATATACAGTATTATGTATGGGAAGAAAAGGAAGATGAAGAGGGCATCAGAAAACTGAAGAGGAATATAATATAAAATTCAAAATTCATAGCACACATGTTTATGTACTATTACTTTAGTCCCTTTTCTCAAAACAGATTTCAGGCACTTGAAGTTTTGACTGTCAAATACTTTCTCTCACATTGTTTGCTAATGTAGCTTGATTCTCAACACAGCTGAGTGTTTTGACAATCATAAACATATAATTAAGGTATCCTTGAGCATCAGAAAGACAAGAAAGATATCATTATGTTATTTTTATGGGTGGTTGTTTCATGTACAGGATGATGTGAAGCAATGGTGTGTTGCCTACATTATGATAACTGCTTGTTCATGCCTTTTCAGGCCTGGTGCAAAAAAGAGACCAGCTTTACATAAGCCTCCCCTGCCAGATTCACAGCCTCTCCACCATCAATTTCTGTTATGCCTCCTCATGGCCAACCATGGAAACTGGGTACCTTGCTGTCCTAGGCTGAATTATGGAGGCTCCTGTAGTCCTGACCCACTGGTGTGTGGACATGCCTGTGTGGGTGGCTATACCTACAATTAGTCAGGCCATAGCAAAGGTCACCATCTTCAGGGGGTAGCCACAGCCATCTCTAGCACACTACAGCCCTCGGGAGTAGAGGTTACTTTGGTCGATGAGTGTAGAATGGCACTGGGACTGAAGCCTGTGCTTGGCTTCCTATCTTTAAAAACTGTCTACACCCCTACCAATATTCATGAATTCAATGTGAAAAATGTATTCTGCACCAAAATCACATCACTGGTGGACAGTTGCTCTTGGCAAGACATTCGCATTGCTCCGGTCGAATTCAGTGTGGTATTCAGCTCTAAACATACTAGCTATGGGATATCTATTAGTCCCTATGGCTCAGGAGCTGTTGCCAGTAGCAAGAATAGCTTCATTAAGTCCCAGAGACTGAGGATTTCTGGTTTCTGGTACTGCACTCTGACCCACCTCACTGGACATAATACAAATATGCAGGCCAAGGAGATTGACCATATTCTTGTAGCACTCACTGGAGGATCCTCCAGAACTGCATGGTTTACTGGAGTGCTCAGTTATAGATTCATTGTGGCTACTCTCCAAGTCCACTTCTCACCTCCCATTAGTCCCGTCATCATCCTAGAGTATTTCACATAGACAGGCAGAGGGAGGGGGAGTGTGCCCAGAGGTTTACCAAGGCTCTCTTTGGTCATTCAAAGCACTCGGCAACCTGATGGACCCTGTAGCACTGTGGAATACCTTCAAGCACAAAACACTTGATGTAGCATAAGATTTCATTGGTGACTGACTAGGGTTCAGGACTTGCTCCATTCCTTAGTGCTTAGGACTCAGGCACTGATGAGAAGGGGGCCAAGTAACAGTACATAAGGAATTTCGTTGAAGAGGTCGAAGGCAATTTCTTAATAAATGATCTTAGGCCTACCAAGCCCTGAGAAGGCTGAATTCCAAGACTTCCTCACAGACAACAGTCTGCTCAAATGGTGGTTGGATCATCTCGGATCATGTTGGGTACAAGAACATTGGACTGACTACATTGAGCAGTTACCAGGTTGATCCACTAACAGTTAGCTTATATGTGAGCATTGTTGAAATCCCAGTGCCAGATCCATTCATCAGTGAGTAACCACCTATTGATGGGACTACAGCAATTAGCAAGGCATTTTATTGCTCTGCATACTGAGCAAAGTTCTTACTCACATCCTGAGATGTATTAGAGATCACCTACTGAGGTACCAGAGACCAGAGTCTTTGTAGAGCACCACTATGAGTCTGGCTATGGACTGCTTGCAGCCTACATTGACCTGAAGAAGGCATTCAACACAGTGCATCATAAACCACTCTGGAAGATCTTGACACTAAGGGGAATTCCAACTAGAATTATTGGATTAATATCAAGCCTATATATCCTGATACTGAAAATGCTGTAAAGTGTCGTGAGGGCTTGTTTAGCTTCTTCCTTTTGAGTTCAGGAGTGAGGCAGGGCTGTAATGTTGCACCAACACTTTTCAACACATTCATGGACTGGATACTAGGCAAAGCTATTATCCAAAATCATTGGATAATAACTGGGCAATATCAAGGTTACTGATGATGTTGCTATCCTGGAGTCTCTGAAAACCTAAGTGGTGGCTCTAGATGCATTTACAAATGAAGTGAAGACCTTTGGTTTAGAGGTCTCCTAGACCAAGACCAAGATCCAGGAATTTGGGGGCCCTCAAAAAAATCCATGTATATGTATATGCATCTTCATTCACATTATAAATCTTTAAACCAAATTCTAGGTATTTGTCATTTTAACTACTAAAGATCTTCCTTAAACTGGGTACTACTAAAACAATCTTCATAAGGTTTCAAATGTCAAACTTGTTACAGCTGACCTAATCGAAGGCTCTGTTCCATTTGCAGTTTG